GCGCTCACACGAGATTTCCCTGGAGCAACTCGGGGAGCAAAACCTGTCCAGAACCTCGCAAAGCCATGTGGTAAGGCTTGCCCCTAAACCCTAAATTAGGGTTTAGGGTTTAGGGTTTAGGAACCCCTAAACCCTAAACCCTAAACCCTAAACCCTAAACCACATACCTCAAAGCAACCGGATCCCTCCGCTCAGCGCGGCTACAAAGCCTGGGGCATTCCGCCGGACGCCGTGATGGTTTTCACTCTGGAGGTTTTGGATATCCAGTAGCTTTCCGACATCAAACCCTAAACCCTAAACCCTAAACCCTAAACCCTAAACCCTAAACCCTAAACCCTAAACTCTACGGAGTTCTATCATTTGATCAAAAACATAGGAGGAACGTAGGCTGAACTTTGTATCGGAATCGGACCAGGCACACCTAGCTAGAGTCTAGAATCCTGCCAGCCGTGGATTCCTGCATGATCGAGAGGCATCTAACCTGCAAATTCTCCAGGGCTGGCAGGCCTTCCTCCAGATCCAATGCGTTTCCGAATGACGCTTTGCACGTCTTTCAGAGGCTCCGTGCCGCTCCGCCGATAAGTCTCAATCCATGCAAGCCAGAAACCTTTGCTAAGCGGCGCAGTCTCAACCCCCAACCCGACACAAACCCAGCAGAAGGTCTGCAGCTTGTCAGAGAGGAGGGGCTGCGAATACGGATTGTAAAGGGTGTATAAAGGTGACAGACGGATGCCACAAACCTGCAGCCCTTTGGCTGGTGCCCATGTCTTTTGTGTCGGCCACAGTTGGCCAGAACTTTCTTGCACATCGAAGATACGCCCACCCTGAAGTAATTGTCGATAGCCTTCACGCCAGTGACATTGAGAGCAAGTGTGGGCGTATTTCACAGGCAAGGTGGGTGGGCTTTCAGAAAATGAGGGGCCACAGCACGAAGCTCTGCTATGACTTTCCATCGTAGGACCCTTACTCTTATGGCCCTATTCTCAAGGCCCCATAACCCAATCCCTGAACCCAAAACCCTAAAGCCTAGGCCCTGAACCCTAAACCCCACAAGCCTAATACCCTAACACTGAACCCTAAACCCTAAACCCCAAAATTTTCTAAAGCCCTCCATAAACCCACTTCCAAGGCGCCTTTTGCGCCCTGGCCCTTGGGCGGGTTCTGCTGAAACCCGCTGAAACCGGGCCGGGGCGCTTTCGATCGGGTCCCAGGCCGCTGCAAGAGGAAGTATTACCGGTGGGGGGTATATAAGGGTCTAGGGCTTTTAGGGTTTAGGGTTTAGGGTTTAGGGTTTAGGGCTTAGGGCTTAGGGCTTAGGGCTTTTAGGGTTTAGGGGGAGGGGGGTACGGGACTCTACTTCCTTCAATAGGCCTTATTCGGTCCGTCTATAGGTCCTTCTTACGGGGATGAAGGCCCCCTAGAACTGAGAAGCAAGCTCCAAAATGCCCGAAGCCCACTCCGTCTTGAGCCCTCAACCTTACTTAAAGGATCATGGGACTTAGTAAGTAGGGTTAAAACTAAACAAAGGTAACTATACTTTATAACCCCAATTAGGGGACTTATAACCTTACTTACTGAGTCCCTTGATCCTCCGAGCACCCTTAAACCCCAAAGTCCTACCGAGGGTAGGTGATTCGACTCCTTGGGTAGACGTGCCCTCATTAAAGAATCCCCTTCCTCTGGGGCCTGCCTGCGCAGCTCTATATGGGAGTTTCCAAAGATTAGGGGTACCTTATTTTGGGGTCCTTATAATAAGGATCCTACTATTTGGGGTACCATATTAGGGTCCCCTATTTTAGGAAACCCCCATATGCAGCCGGCTGGATCTGCAGCCCGGTTCTCCCGACACCTTCCGGTTCTTCCCTATTGGGAAGGCTCGCTATGTGCGTCACCTACCCAGCACGGACGACAAACCGACGTTCTTTAGGCAAGATCGATATGCGTGGCTATGCGAATGTTCACTGCATCTCTTTCTCCCACTTCCTGCCGTCCAAGCTGATAAGCCGATAAGCATGGGACAGTTTTTGTCGGAGGGTCAGTGATCAGTCAGCCTTTCAGCCTCGGAAGCTGCTGTAGACCTGCCTCCCATTATTATTGCCCGGACGTGATGACAGCGCACTGGTATCAAAATCTTCGACGGGCGCGTGGAGAATGGCTGTTATGCGGCGATTGCAGACGTTCCTGACTCAACGTCTCGCCTACCGCCAGTCGTGAACCCAGAGAAGCCGATGCACCCCTGAATTAAAGCAGTATATATATATATATATGTAGGTATATGTATGTATGTATGTATGTATGTATGTATGTATGTATGTATGTTTGTAAAGATATATATATATATATATATGTGGATGTACATGTATGTGTATGTGTATGTGTATGTGTATGTGTATGTGCATGTGCATGTGTATGTGTATGTGTATGTGTATGTGTATGTATATGTATGTGTATGTATGTATGTATGTATGTATGTATGTATGTGT